GCATGGTGACAAATGAACTAATGACTCCTGTTGCTGTTTGTGTTTGAGATTTGTTATAATTTGATCAGTATCCTAACAAATATCAGACAGGTCTGGTCTCTAGTGTATATTAGTTTATTAAACAGCTTTGTGATTAGGTTAAATAGGTGAATACAAATTTCTTCTTGAAATAATACAATTTCTTATGTAAATTCTTAAGCATCATGATCAGGGAATTGTGGATTTACTTGCTTTAACTGTCACATTCTTGAACTCCTTATTTATAGGTCTGTTGGATAAGTTTTCCTCCTAAATACTGCACCAAAAGTCATAACTCAGGCAGCTCTCAATGAAGTTTGAAGATTAAATATTGTGAGAAGCAGTCACCAACTTCTTGAAATACCTTTGTAAGAAACATGTCTCATACAACAAACAGTTTTTAAATTGCAGCTTCTTTAAAAAGACTAGACAAATACATAGACAGTAGTGAACTCCATGAACTATTAATGTCAATATCAGGAAACTGATATTAGTGTATATGTTTGTTAATTGTAGTAATGGTGGATACTGGGTGAGTATGGGGGGAAATAGCAGAATGTTGCCAAGCTCATGTGTCTCATTCAGCATCACTTCATTCTGCCATGGTCAGGGCTGGAATACTGGCCTGAAATAGCAGGTAACTTATTATGTAGATAACTATGTTCTTCAAGCTTCCTGGGCATGTGAAAACTAATCTTACTTCCCTTGAAAGATGAAGCATAATCACTGCTTTAGAAAAAAGGAAGTACTGTATAAGTTAAGTAATACAGTGCTGTTGCCTAGTTATTAGTAACTTGGTCTTTTGAGATCTCCTTTTCAGTGATAAATCAATACCTGCATTCATTTACAGTCAAATTCTTCAGTTCTCTCCAGTCTGACTATACTAGGTTTCAGGTTATAGCAGTTCACTTGCTATGTCCTCTGAGCAGGAGAGACTGAGTTCTGGTTGAAGTGTGTGGCTTCTAGAACCTGTGAGTATGAATACCTTTTGACAGCTTGTCACATAGCTTCTTATGGAGAACTACATTCAAAGACAAGCAGGTTTTATATGTTAACAGTCATGGAAATACACACAAGTTTAATATAGGCTGTCCAGTCTCAAACATTGCCTTCACAGTTTCAAGCTCTGTCATATTTATATGAACTTGAATTAACGATATTTCTCTATTTTCTGAAGGGGCTCATGAGCTTCTCTAGAATCATAGAATGGTTTGGGTTGGAAGGCACCTCAAAGATCATTTAATTCCAACCCCTCTGCCATGGGCAGGAACACCCTCCACTAGACCACATTGCCCAAAGCCCCATCCAACCTGGTCTTGAACACTCCCAGGGATGGGGCACCCACAACTTCTGGGCAACCTGTTCCAGTGCCTCACCACCCTCACAGTGAAGAATTTCTTTCTAACATCTAATCTAAATTGACACTCCTTCAGCTTGAACCCATTACCCCTTGTCCTGTCACTACACTCCCTGATAAACAGTCCCTCACCATCGTTCCTGTAGGCCCCTTCAGGTACTGGAAGGCTGCTATAAGGTCTCCCTAGAGCCTTCTCTTCTCCAGGCTGAATAACTCTCTCAGCCTGTCCTCACAGGAGAGGTGCTCCAGCCCTCTGATCATCTTTGTGGCCTCCTCTGGACTCTCTCCAACAGCTCCATGTCCTTCTTATATTGGGGGCCCCAGAGCTGGATGCAGTACTCTAGAAATTAAGAAACTTAATTGCATTTGGTGGTTTGTCCATAAACCAGTCTTAATAGTCTTTGAGGGATTGAGTATCAATTTGCTTGAAAATAAGTAAAGAATTGTTTCCTTCTGTCTCTCTAATTAGCACCAGAGTTACTTGTTTGTGACTATTAATGTTTTTTCTTAACAGCTGTTGTTCTGGGTTTTGCTATGTGATCTGTATCTTGAGGCTTCAAAGCACCATAAGGTAGCACGGAGTGAGGTATAATAAAGGGATGGTATCTGTTTAAATTGTATTTGCTGTCTTGTGGTGATACTGCATTATTATGAAGCTCCTGGCAGAAAAAACCCTATTTTTCTGTTTACAAGAAAATAGTGTATCTGTTGGGAAGTTATGGAGGCTCTTATAGCAGAGCTTTATTGCAGATAGACAGGTGTGGCCTACTACTAGCCTATTGATTATATTGAAAATGATGGAACTCTAATGGGTTTTGGTATGAAAGCAGGTTAGAACTAAAACACAGGAAGGAAGCACTTTTCCTGACCTGTTTGCCTTTATTTTGCACTCAGTTATGGCTAAAAGAACTATTTATTCCTCAGTTTCTTGCGTAACTATCCAAACAAAAACTTCAGAGAAGGTTCTTCTTTGTCATTCCTCTTGTGGATGAGAGGTGGGTGAAGGGAAAGCATGATTTATGCCCAAAAGAAAAAGGATGGGAAACTAGGCCTTAAGTGGTGAAGTTACTTAACCTTATGCTAGAATACATTAAACTTGGTTATGTTCTTCTGTTGCTTTAACTGTAGCTACTAGTTCACTCAAAGTAGCAAAGAAGAAGTAAGGTACTTACTCTTTAAAAGAGATGCTGAAAGTAGCTCATAAAAAATACTTTTATGTATGGATATGTTGATGTTAATTTCTCCTGCATGAGGGTATTGTCCAAAGCATAGCTGAATAGGAAGACCTCACCTGTGTGTTAGGAAACGGTTGGACTTGTGTTAGAAGAGCTACCTCTGCAAAGTCCTGCCTCTGACTGTTCTGATAGCTGTCATATTTTGCACTGAGAGTGAGACTTCAGAGAAGCTAGTGAACAAGGCTAAGCAAACTTCCTTTTCTGCCAACCAGTACTGAGTCTGGTATTAATGCAAGTAGTTGATCATTACTGTGATAAGCTGCTGAAGCCATGTGTTGACTTATAGGACTGCAGTGACAAAACTGTTTCACTTATCTTCAAGCTACCCAGCCCTTTCTTTTGTAAGCTGTAGTACATGTGGAGGACGCTGATTGTAGCTGTCTGTTTCTGGCAAGCTTGGCTGTTGTTTCTCTCCTGTGAATGCAAGGTAGCTGATATGGCTTACTCCCTCTGAATCCTTCCAGACTCTAAGTACTGTCTGGATTGCTGTGTGAATGTTCATTATTACCCTATTGTCAGCATGTGTTACAGAACTGTAGATGTCTGGACATGTCCTTTGCAACAGCATCTGTATAAATAAAGCTTTATCTTAAGTTTGGAAGCAAACACCAGGGAATATGGATCATTACTAACTAGAATAGTTATAAATGTTAACTTCAGGAGCTTCAGGATGCAATACCGTGCTAGAATTGGATGGACTCTGAAGCCAGTAGAGAACTCTCATTATTCGTGGCCAATGAAAACATGATGATAGCAGTAATAATGTTTGGGCTTTTTCTGTGGGAAGTCAGGTATGAAATGACATGTTTCTGTGGACAAAGAAATCTGATACACAACTAGCATTGATTACTGATATGAAGGCTGGCAAGCAGATAGTTTTTCTAGACTTCATACTGAATTACACAAGCACTGAGACTGGAGAACTGAAGTGAGAGAATATTTGACTAATGGTCTAGTTCCAGTTAGCATACTTGGACTGGCCTATGATAGCAAGCTGGTACAGTGCCATTTCCTCTTCTGATTGCAGTATGCTCAGTCAGCATGCTGACTTTGCATCTTAATCACAAGGTCTAGAGTGCTCCAAACAGGAAATTTGTTTTAATACTTTTAATGCATCTCACCTGGGTGCCCTCTGGAAACGGCTCTGTGCCAGTTAGTGGCTGTTTCTATGCAGAAAATAAGCAGCCCTAAACCAAACACAACTGTTTTATCTCAGCCAAAACCCTCAACAATGATGTTGCTTTTACCTCAGCGGACTACTAGCCTGAGCACTGAAGACTTTAATGAATGTTTTTTGGTGTAACAAGAGAACTTAATCATATTATCACTGTTCTTGGAAGAATCTTCAAGATTTAATAGCCCTCTTGCCTCACTGGTGAGTCAGTGCTTCCCAAGGCCTCTGTCTCATGATGCAATGCCTTCCTTCCGGAGATGAGAACTATGTGTATTTAAAGACTAGCCTCTCTCGAGTGTTACAGCAATAAACTTGTGTCTCGGGTTTCATTGTCTGAACATGTGAATTGCTCTCTGCTCTTCCAAGGTGGGCAGCTGGCTGATTCAAGCTGTTGATGTCACTATGAGTTACAGACCCTGGCTTAGCTTTAATTCCAGCCCTGTCAAGACAACGTGAACAGCTGCAGCCTGCAACTGTAGTGCAGATGGGCTTAAATTGAAGGCGAGTGATGTGTAAGCATGTTTTATTTGTGGGCTTTAGTCTTCATAAACCTACTTAGTGGAACTGTTAATTGTGTCTGTAAGTGCCCAAGCCAGTGTATGTGCAGTGATCTTCAGGAATCTGCTTTGTGTGAACGTCCCGATGGATGTTAAGTGATGCGCAAGGTAGTTGCTGTGAAGCAGACAGATGCTGTTAGCTGTATGTGCCTCTCAAACCAGTTCTTTTTGGCTGTTGTAACTTGCCAGGGAGTAGCAATCTGACAAAGTAGCTTCTATCTTTCAGGTAAAGGAGTCTAGCTTTTCAGTTATGAGAACCTCCTCCTTTATAGCTAGTTTTTGTTAACTTGAGTCTTCCCTTCCTGAAGCTAGTAACTATGTTCTTGGAGAGGAGTATCTTCCAACCTAACTACCATGTTTGAATTGATGACTTCACAGTCTTCTACCTCATACAGTTAATGATGGCTATTTAGGGCTTTTGGATAAGGACTTAATACTTTCCTAGTTCCCTGGTAAAGGAGTATGAAGAGCTTCCTGTGTGCCATTAACGCTAGCGTGAAACTGGGGCATACATAACCACAAAGAAGTAAAGGATACAGCTCTTACTTTTAGGTGAATTGGCTCTCTTATTTAGGAATGTGGTGCAAAATAACCTTATTTTCTGCTTACTGTTGGGTGACTTTGGTACAGTCTCTACTTTCATCGAAGAGTGTAATAACATGGCAGAAACACTTCTGTGTGGTAAGTTTCTCCAAGGTAGCATTATGGGTGAGACAAAGGTAACATGACTTAGATCATGCAGGCAGTGTCATAGTATGTAGCCCTGTTCCAGAGACATGCCTTGCTAAGATTTAGCAGTTCCTGAAAATCTTGGTGTTTTTTGCATAGTCTGGAGATTTAAATAGTTTCACAAACTGAAATGTTTGTCTTACAATTGATGTATGTTCCCTCTGGCTGTGTTTTAATAAGATGAAATTTTAAGGTTATGTGGCAAAGATTCCTAGCTGATCCTGTTCCTGAGGCTCTACTGCCCATGGTACTTCAAAAAGAATAGTGCTGCAGCAGAAGTAGGAAGTTATCAAACGTGTCATCACAGAAGGTAGCAAAAGGTGATTTTGCTAGCAATGTTAGCTATATCTTTTGAGCTGATTAGGAATTAGGAGATAACCAAACAAGGATAAGAATTACTAAGTGTTGGCCACAGGATTGCTGATGTTCCAAGTAGAGACTGAAACAGTGAGAGTCATGCTTCTTAGCTTCTGAACAGTTGCCTAGTTCTAAGACAGGGAGGAGAAAGTGGGAGTAACTTTAGAACACTGTCTGTAGCAGCTTCTCAGCAGTATCAGCTCTGCTGTTTATGTAGCCTGAAGCATGATCTCATGATGAAGAAATGACCTTGTATTACTGGTTCTACAGAATAATGGCTCACTTGGTTTCTTGTTCCTGTGCAGAAAAGTGCAGAGGTAAGGAAGTGGCCCTGCAGGGGTAACACTTATTTGCATAACTCCCACATTATATAGTCTACTCAAGCTTTCCACACGAGTTACTGAAATCAGTAAATCTGGCTGTTCTGTCTTTTCTTAAATGGCTAAATTACAGTCACTTCTTTACAGGTGCTGTTGATGGAGTGGTCAATGGAGATGTCTATCAGGTAAGATAGAAGTACTCTGTACTTAGAATGTGCTGTTCTACTCTGAGAACATTACCTTAATCTAGACTAATACTTCCCATTTCTTGTCTCTAATGTACTTTTATGTCATCTCTGAAGAGGAACTTCTATTCTGATAGCTCATCTCATAAAGCTGTTAGCGCTCTTAATATGCCCCTCTGAACTTAGAGGCAATTTAAAGCAGCAATCCATTTTGAATTATGGCTTAATAGGACATAACCGCTGTAAGCAGACTGACAGTCTGTGGTATGACTTAACATTAACTTGCCACTGGCTAATAAGCTGACAGCATGCTTGGACTACCTAGTGTAAAGCAGAGTTTTCTAAATTGCTTGTTCTTTAAGGATAATTCTTGTATCCTGGTCGTATTATCAAGATTGGTCTTACAAGTAGCTGACTGAAAACACTGTGCACTTCCTAGTGACATGAAGTTGCATGAAGTTAAGCTGCTGGCTAAATAAATAGCTCGATCATAGTATGGAAGCATGTTAATCAGCCATGGTAATGACAAAAGGAGGAGATACTTTCTTTATTAGTGTTAGGGAGGAATGAGGCCTGCAAAGGCAACAACTGTATTGTAACTGAATTTCACACCAGTTTGGCTAAGGCATTGTCCTTGTTTGGCATCAGAGTTGGCTGGATAGCCCTGATTAAGTGAACGCTTGGGAACGGGGCAGCGTATGAGCTACTTCTCCATAGAGTTTTAAGTCAACTCTGAGCTTCGTGGAGATACAAACAGCTTTCACTGCTGCTAACGTTTTTATAGCCTCACCATTGCTGTGAGATTGACGGGGAAAACTGTATTTTACGAGCTGTTTCTGCTTCCTTATACAACAGAAGGTAGATGAAATATATTGATTTTGTGTTTGTAATTCTAAGTGACCAGCTGCTTTGATAGAGCTTCCTCTTAATGAGGAAGAACAGACTGAACAGACCATATGTAACTTTTGTTTTAGCTACCTGTAACTAGTTTGACCATGCAACTGGACAATTCATTTTGTTTTGGATTGAATGTGAAACTTGGTGCCTAGCTCATTCTCTTTCTATTATGCCTTCATTGAAGGCTATGGGAGGTCCAAAGAGGGGCAAGACTCAGCCAAATCTGTCATTAGCTGCAAGCCATCTGCTCCTGTCAGGAGTGGTATTTCTCAGGTCTGTTATGAGTAGGGTGAACCAATAAAAGTTCTTGAACTTGGAGTATGCTCTGTGGCAAATAGCACAATATTCATTAGCTTTGCAAATCTAGTGTATTAATGATAGTCCTATTAGTTGCAAATCTTAGCTATTTTATCGCAAAAAGTATGCTAGTACTCACACTGTTTTGATGCTTCACTGTTGAAATGCCTCTTGCGTTCCAAGCTGCAAACAGCAATCCAAATTCTGCAGTGTCTTTAAAGGACATTGGCTTTTAATATCCATTAAGTTTGAAATGTCTCCAAAGTAGACAAATAAGTTAGACTGTTTTAAACTCCTATGCACAAAACTGTAAAAAAAATTAAAAATTACTTTCACAGCAAATATTTAAGGTGAAAGGAACTGGAGGATCTCTAGGCCTACAACTGTATAGTGAGGTGCTAGGCATTGTCTTCCACTTTCTTCAGGCAGAGCGCTCTGGCATAGTTTGACTTCCCAGTGAATTTGAATTTGTGTTGGATTACTGGAAGCAGTGCTGTATTAATTTGCTTCAATCTGGCTGTAATTTGTGGCAAGACATTTTTCATGTTAATGGTGGAAATGTATAACATCAGATGAATGTATGATGTGCGCAGTTCAAGTAGAGTCTAATTTTATGTAGCTTGCAGGCAGTTATCTGAAATATTCTGTTCTCATGTATGAATGACATTACTATTCCTTCCCTTTAAGGAGAGTAATGGTCTAACAGACTCCTATGCTGCCATATCACAAGTAGATCGACTGCAGTCAGAACCGGAGAGTATTCGTAAGTGGAGAGAGGAGCAAAAGGAGCGCCTGGAGCAACTTGGTAAGGAAGGTGGTACAGTATTATTCTTGCCTGTGAGTAACTTAGTGGCAGCTTCTTAAGCAGCAGAATTCTTAACCATGGCTTCTGGCTCTCGGGAATCTAACATGCTGCTTGAATTTGAGCAGCAAGTCTGGATGAAGCTTCCAGTAAGTAGACTTAATACTGGTGTAGGAGTCAGCAAGTGGCTCTCTGAACCTTAAGAATATTCACATGGCCTACCCTTTACTTGCAAATAAGCCGACAGAAAATGATCAGCTTTTATCAGTAGAAAAGAGTGAGTAAATACTGTACCATCAGCACTTTTTTCAAAGGATAGATTGCTCATTTTGTAATTGCTGAAGCCATCTGTTGTCACATGGATCTTAATCTAATAGGTAAGTAATAGACTAGTAACTAAACTGAATACAGCTATTAAATGCAGTGATACCTACCTGTGGACATCTTCTAGGAGCCTACAAACTGCTATGCTTTCCACTTGCATTAGGGAGGAGGCTTTGCTTGAAATTGTTAGGACAGAACCTTCTGTACAATGTGGTTCTGGATAGAACTGAGCCTGTTACTTCTATTCCAAACTAGTTACAGTGGATGAGCTTGTCCTGAACTGTAGGCTGGCTGTAAAAAGCATGCTGAGTGCCAGGCTCCTTCACTTTGTCTAAGCACAGAGGCTTTACTGAGCTTAGTTTGAGCACTAGCATAGTAAGATGACTGTTTCTGGTTTTGAACAGTTTGCAGGCGAACAGACTTACTGAATCTGAATTAGTCTACAAATGCCAATCCTAAGCTGAAGTGGACTGTCCCACTTAGGCAATGCAGGTATTCTGTTTAGCTAATCCTCTGAGTGTTCGTGGTATTTAGAGTTCTTATGGCCTAAATCAGGAAATCTCCTAATTCTTACCTGAGTAGATCAAGCAGCTGTCTGCACTAGAGTGCACCCTGAAACCAGCAGCTGAAATGTTAACAAGATCCAGCTGGAACAAACATGGCTGACAGATCAATTCTTAAATCTTCAGATGCAAACTCACGAAAGCAGGAAGCAGAATGGAAAGAGAAAGCAATAAAAGAGTTGGAGGAGTGGTATGCAAGGCAAGATGAAAAGCTCCAGAAAACAAAAGCAAGCAACAGGTAAGGTTTTTCCAGCCATCTGAAGTGTTATGGTACTGGATATGAAAGTAATGGGGGAGAAGAGAGGTTAGAATGCTTCCAGTATGTCCTAAGGCACTATCCTTCAGATCATTAAAGTAACCTTTCCTGCTAAGAAATGGGTCTCCAGTGGTAGACTATGTTAAGTTTTCTTAGAATCTAGATTATATGTCCAAGAGTAGTAAGAGAAAGCATTAAGATGATGAACCAGAATTACTGAAGATTCCTTAAGATACAAAGTTTGAACATGGCCAGAAAAAGTTTTAGTCTACCCACTTGTTTGCATGCTGCTAGCTGCACAGGTCTTCAGTGACTGTAATTACCTACCTTGAGACTAGCAATCTTACTTGCTATCTTTAGAACACGTGGAAGTGGCCTTCTAGTTGTCTTTGCTACACGTTATTTCATTAGATACCTTAAAACCTTTGGCTGCTCCTTTTGGAAATGTTTGAGAAATAACCTGACTCAGTTCTGCTAGTGAAGAACAAATGCTGACTGTGTCTATTTTGGGTTTGAATTGTCTGATTATGGGCCCTGGGGCAGAAACTAATGACACAGCTAGTCTAGTAAGCTGTTACACTTTCTTAGAGGTTCCCTGTGGAGTTTTGACTTCAAGCTCTTTAAGGGTAAATATGATAGTACTGACTTAAGATCACTTAGATCTCTACTTCTGACCTGGGATTGCCAGTGTCATTCTGTCCAGGTAATCATCAGGGCTGCTTTAAACTTTGGGAACCCACAGACTCAAGATGAACTGGTTTTTTGAAACACCATTTTTCTTACCAAAATGGTCAGCAGGTTTGTCTTAAGTAGAGTTCTAGGTAGATTCTACTTCTTATTAAAGGAAGCCTACACTTCCTGCAAAATTATGGATTTGACACTTCCATTCACTGAGGTGCAGTCTTTTGGTTGGGCCAAGAAAGGGAAACAGGATTGACACTCTTCTAGTTGGTGGCCAAAGCTCATGATACCCTCATAGATTTATTGTGGCCAGTGTTTGAGTGCAGGGTATGCGTTCTGGAGCAGGGTCCATTTAGCGAGTGTTTGGCGTTCTCATCAGCCTGGTGAGATCTCTCTCTTAATGGCAGTATCTGTCCACTGGAAGTAGACTAATGCTAACAGTGGGACTCTAGTGCTAAAGTAGCTGGTCTCAACTTCTAGGGTGTAGCAGAACTTTTTTGTTGCCCCTCTGAGTCAATGGTTTAATTGATACATTCCATGTGGTAGGTACTTTCCTGTTACAGTAAGCATAGGTGATACAAGGTTAATGTGCTTGTTAAAACTACCTTCAGCTGTGTTCCCTACTTCTCATCCTTATCTTTTTTCTCCTGCCTGCTTGCCTGCCTGTTGGACTACTTGCTACCTAGGGTGGCAGATGAAGCTTTCTACAAACAACCCTTCGCTGACGTGATTGGTTATGTGTATGTTGCTTAACTACTAATTCTGTTTGCTAGTCAACTAGGTAATGAGAAGGATCAGAAATAGTGCTGAATGTCTGAAGTTGACTTCTGAATATGTCAGGGCAGTATAAGCTAATATAAATAAATAGCCTTTCCTTTTTGGACTGACTGATCTGCATTAAGTACAGTTTTCCTGTAAGGATCCCATACACTGCACAACATCCAGCACTTCCAGGTTAAGGGATGTAGTATACATACTGGAATTTTGGTAATGACTTCAGTAGTCTTTAGATGTAGGGGTTTACAGTGTCCCCTGGCCTGGAAACAGCTGCTTGGCAAGATGCTTTGCTGGGCGTGTGGGTTAGTGTCTGCAGTCTCACATGGGTGCTGTATTTAGTCCTAGTCACTTCCACAGAGAAGCACAATGTTTAACTCTGTGTTCTGTGTAATAGGCATTGAGCTCCTGATCTGTGGTCATTTGCTGACATAATCAGAAAAATATTCAAGCAATGCTTGCATATAGCTCTGCAAGCCAAGGAAGGTGGAAAGGAATCACCTGCCATAAATCAGGGTAGAAGAGGTGTGTGCATAAAGAAGTTGAATGCTATTAAGAGAACAGCTGAAAAGTACAAGAAGGTGGTATTGGAAAATCAGCATTAGTTGCTGGGAGAACATTTAAGAGCAGCTCTGTGTAGTCATTTTGCCAGCCTAATGGATGAATGAGAATACAGCCATGACTTTCAAGCCCCAATAAGTATGCTAGTTTCTGTCGGGTGGAAGGATTGCAATGTTCATTGGCTTGTTCATGTGTTTTAATTTCTTCCCTTAATTTGTAGACTTGACTTGAAAGATGGCCATGTCACAGATTCTAAGGTGACACCTTTAGAAGGTGAATTGGTGAGCCATGGTGTGGCTTTGAGTGCATTAATATTGAAGGTCCAGTGTGGAATTCATTGCCTAACTGTAGGTGGATGTAAACCAAGAAATGTGAAATGATGGATTTACAGGTGGTGTTTGACTTTTCTGAAGTCTCATGGAGTTGATTTTGATAGATTTTTCCCAATGAAACCCTTATTTTCATATATCCAATGCAAATGTGCAGTGTAAGTGCTGTAGAATAAAATTGACAACCTGTTTCCTGAATGTAGACTAAGCTACTAGTGCATGTTCAGCGAGCTGATCATCTGCATTAAATTCATTCTCATTTTCTGTATCTGACTTAAACTTTCTCTCCTTGTTTCTTTTCTTCTTTTCACCTTTAAGCACAAACATAAATCATCCTTGCTACAGCCTAGAACAGTTAAGTAAAAAAATCTTCACTGCCCCTTAAAAGTGTCATGTCACATAAAGTAGCAGTGTTGTAGTGACCCTTGTCTTCAGTGGCGTCTGTAACCTTATCATCCCTGTGAACAGTGCTGAACCCTCATGGGAGAATCATTTTCACTGCTTTTTCTGTACTGCTTGTTGGAGTAGATGGATTTGGTTTGATCTCTTGATGCTTACTGCTCTTGCACGCAGGCAGCTACCAGGGCCCCACAGTTCACCTAAACTAGATGCTGGAGTGTTATCTGTGTATTGAAGCAATGCTGTTGGCAGCATAGCAATGCCAAAAGGATACAGCTGGGAAGCCACTGGCACTAATCTGTACATGATGTAAAAAGCCTCCTTAGAGTCTCCTTAGGGTAAGAGCAGGGGAAATGTGTTTATCCTGTAAGCTGACCTCAGACGAGTCATCCCCTCTGCCAAGATTTGCTTTAGTCTATAGCACCCATAGGCATGGGATTTGCGACTTAAATTCCTTTTGATTCATGCTGCTTCACTATGGCATTGGGAATCATCAGCAGATAGTTTTATGATGGCCTGTAGGCCTTGGGGCTGATCTAAATCCACAAATAGTATCTGTTTTAAGACATGCTTGCAGGGAGTTGTAAATTTCCAGTTGGCAAGTGTCCAATGTAAGCCATCAAGTGGCAGAGGCTTAACTGGTTAAGACTTGGGCATTTCTCCATAAATAAAATGCCTACATAGAAGTACCTTACTTCCCCGCAGTTTGTGTGGTGACTCCTTAGGCAAAGATTCTTAAAACCAAACACCTGTATTCCAACATTTTACACAGCAATCCTCTGCACTGCTTGTGCATAGCATACTACTGCAACCTACTTTTGTCTCCAGGGTTGGGGCAGTGGGAGCTTGAGTAGCCATAATGTCCACAAGCAGCTGTCAGGTCACATTTCTTATGAAACATGCTGAAAGAAACTGCATCCTGTAAGAGGGAAGGAGTGCCTTATATGTTGGGCATTAACACAAGGTGCATTGCATTGCTTTTAGGGCAGCTGAAGAAGCCTTTGTGAATGATGCAGAAGAGATTTTTCCGGGCACTGAGTGGGAACGTGTGGCTCAGCTCTGTGACTTTAATCCCAAGTCTAGTAAGCAGGCAAAAGATGTGTCCCGTATGCGTTCAGTCCTCATCTCACTCAAGCAGGCTCCGCTGGTTCGCTGAAGGAAAGCACAATGGAAACACTACAAATGCAATATCTTAACCTTACTCAGAGAAGCTATGTTTGCAGTAATTGGATTAATTGTTTCAATGTCTGGTGGTTTTTTTTTTGGACCAAACCTCATGATGTATCTAGAACTGATCATTGATTGCATGTTCTCATGTTTCCTTTCTGTGTCTGAAATGGGAGAACCTCCAAAACTGTAGTCTCTGTACTATTATGCACTGAGATGTCACTTCCCACATTACTGATATTAAAGATCTGTTAAACAGCAAACTGTGTTGCTTTTGGGTGAATTAATAAGCTCTCCTCCTCCCTTTTGACAGGGGGTGTTTGACAAACACTTCTCTTAATTGCTAGTGATTTCACCTTTCTCATGACTGATCAGCCAGCAATGCTCCTGGTCTCTGAGAAGCTGTCCTGCTTGTCTCCGTAAGCTTTCTTAAAGCTTGTGACAGCTTTAGTTTAAAAACTGCTTCCCTATCCAATTTATCACACAAGGTAGAAGGTCTGGGAAACTGGAGCAGCAGGCTTGTTAAGGAGCTTATCTCGCTTCTAGTGGAACTGAGGACACTGCCTTCTGCAGGTAAGCATTTCTGTGTAGTTTTCTGCTGTCACTCCAACTTCAGATCTTAGGCTAGAAATACAGTACTGAGTAGTAAAAGCCTTTGATATTCTCCTGCATATTCTGTTTTGCCAGGTATTCAACACTGGCTTCATATGCAAAGTCCTGTTGTACAGAACCTGTTTAGGTATTTTTTGAACTGTCCCCTTTTCCTTACTGACTCTTGCAGACACTTTCTCCTACCAGGGTGGGGGACTAGAGATTTGGAGAGCAAGAGAAGGGAAGACTTGCTCTTACTGCTGCTTATCTACTGGGTTGGAGCTCTGTCTGCCAAGGTGGTTGAATTTGAAACAAACTGATCCAGAAAATCTCTGTTCTGCTGCTTCCTTGGCTCTCTTATCTTACCCAGCATTCATGGGAGCTGTATTCTAGCCTTGCTCTGGTAAGACTTACCTTAGCTGTCTGTCTTGTAACAATAGTCTGTTCAGTCTCATATGTTATTTCACCATTTTTATCAAAGATACAGTAGCTTAAATAGTGTGTAGCAGAATTGCTTTAATACCTTTTGTGTACAAGCTGGGAGATTTAGTCCACATGGTTTGAAGAGGGCTGCAGATGCAGATTAAAACTTACTAAGGTTCAGGGAGTTGCTGCACAGCAACTCTTACTAGCAGCTGCATCCCTTTGGTGGGTAAGATACTACTGTGTTGCCAGTTGGGCTTCAATAATTAAGCTGTACCTTACTGTAGTCTATAGTGACTGGAGCTATTCTCATGTTTGCAAGTGTATTCACAAGCTACTGATGAGTGGTGATGAAAGTCATAGTAGACTACAAGTCTGAAAGCTTAATTCCATGGAAGATTAAAGCAGAAAAATATTTTTCTGAACTGCACAGGGATACCAGAGGTGAGTGTAATAGGACTGAAGCACAGAGCAAGTCCATAGAATACTGGTACTCAGTGCTAACAGTGACCAGTTACGCATTCACCATGACTGAAAACTTCCTTTCTTCTACTCACCCCAAATCTGTACCAAAAAAAGGCTTCTAAAATGAATAGGTAATTTAATGAAGATAACTCTACTGCATTAAATAAACAATATTGAAAATGTTAATGTGAGTTTACTGGAATTTGAAAGATAGCAGATTAGAGGGGTTCCTGCACACTGAGTTCTGAAACTGATTAATTGCCATGTTGTCCTACCTCATAGGATATTTTATCTGTGCTAAGGGCATAGGTTTGAGCTGCAATCTCAAGAAAATGGGCAAAGACTCAAATTCAAGGCCAAAGCAATGTTGTTGAAGTTAAAACTGTTTTATAAGCTGGGCTTGCAGGGACTAAAATGTGTCTGCATTTTTTTTGTGTACACCATCTAGCTGGAACACTTAACAAGGTTTTGTTGTGGGTTTTGGTTATGTCCCCTAGCTCTTGTGCTGAGATTTTGTAGATTTTCTATTCTGCCTTAATTTTATATTCAAGTATGCTAGCTCATTGTCTCACTCCTACCTCCTATATCAGTGCTGTCACAGAATCATAGAAAGGCTGAGGTTGGAAGGGACCTCTGGAGCTCATCTACTCCAACCCCCCTGCTCAAGCATGGCCATCTAGTGCCAGGTGTGCAGGACCATGTCCAGGCAGCTTTTGAAAATCTCCAAGGAGGGAGACTCCACCACCTCTCTGGGCAACCAGTGCCAGTGCTTGGCCACCTTCACAGTTGAAAAGTGTTTACTGATGTTCAGGAGAAACTTCCCACTTTTCAGCCTGTGTCCACTGCCTCTGGTCCTGTCAGTGGGCACCACTGGAAAGAGCCTGGCTCTGTCCTCTTTGCACCTGCCCTCCAGGTATTTTTTGTACACATTGCTGAGATCCCCCCTGAGCTTTCCTCCAGGCTGAACAGTCCCAGCTCTTTCTGCCTTTCCTGACAGGAGAGATGCTTCAGTTGCTTAATCATCTTTGTGGGTCTTTGTTGGATCCCTCCAGTATGTCCATATCTCTCTTGTACTGGTGATCCCAGAATTGGACCCAGCACTGTAGATGTGGCCTCACCAGTGCTTTACTTAGACCTCATGCCCTACTTAGACTTATCTTCTTTTGCTCAGTGTCACAAGGTCTAAATATCTAAAGTATACTTGGCTTTATTTGGGCAAATCTGAGCCTTTGTGTGTGCCTCTGAACACTGACTTTTTTTCTTCAGAGGTTGGCATCTGTCACTTTGTTTTGTGACTTCATGTGACAATTCTGTGCTACATCTGGCCTAGCTGAGTGTACTCATTCCTCTGTTTGCTGGCTTTAACTTCCCACTGTTGCTGCTTACCTTCTTAGCATGTAGCTGATGCAGAAAACAGAGTCAGTCAGTGGAATCTGGAAAAAAAAACCAAACCAAAAACCTGGACACTTCCTACCCTTCCAACAAAAACTCAGGTGAATGTGCACAAAGATCTTGTGCAGCATTGAGAGAGAAGCTGCAGACTCCTGGTGAATACATCCTGGTGTAGACCTTGCTTTGTTTAGCTTGTGATCAGATGCCATTAGTATGTGGCCAGTCTCAAATGGTAATGAGCATTTGTAAAGAAGGGGGATGGAGAGAAGGTCGTGGGAGCCTGAAAATGACAGTGTTGAACCTTCATCCTCTTAGTCTGAGGAACATGGTAACAGTTTTAAGTAGCCATAAACCAACATGCTATTGCTTGCCTGTTTCTTGCTGATGGCTTTCCCTGAGCAGCTGGTAAAGAGGGAAAATGCATAGTTTACTGGCTTGTATTTTAGAATGGACAAGGTGGGTGGCTGTTGTTTTTGCCAAAAGAGGTTTCCTGCTGTAGCCCTGGTCATGTGAGGAAGCTTGTTCCTCTGCAGAATGGTGGTGCTGCAGCAGCACGCTGTGGCACTGGGTGGTAACGTGCCTGGGGCTACACCAAGGTTACTGACAACCGAGGCCTCTGCGGTCTGACTTCATCGGGTTCATGGTTCAACAGGGGAGTGTTTCATTAGGTCTTGCATCAGTAATGCAACTTTCACTGACAATTATGTATGATTACAGTGTTGCAATGCTGTTGGCTACAGTTAGAACTACACATTTAATGTCTTGCTTCCTGTGGCTGTTTACTGGTCACCATGTGCAGAAATTTTACCCAGCTCAAGACAGGAGGTAAAATTTTACTAGTGTGTTAAAAAGTGCTGCATCACAGGCTTATGAAATTAAAAATAAAGGAACCTTTGGAAAAAAGTTAATTCTTCAAAATTTTACCTTAAATACAATCTCCATACACTGTTTTATTAAGCAGAAATCTGGCACTGTATTTGCATTTAAAATTTGTGTAATGTCCTTCATGCAAAAAAAAGCTGGAAGACCTAGTATTCAGAGCACCTGCAGATAAGAGTTACAGCAATGGTGGTCTAATAGTACAAGCAAGGCAAAAGTAGCATGGGGATGTTACCTCTTTTTAGACTAGTGGGAAAAAATGTGCTTTCAAGCATGCAAAGCTTTCTTCAGCTAGCAGTAACAGCCTAACAGTAATATTTGTTAAGGATACAACTGGGATGTGTGTGAGATCAGGAGGGGTGTGAGCCCAAAAGCTTTCCTCAGTTATGACAGTAGCAGAAAAAACTGGCTGTATTACTTGTCTTCCCATTGCCTTGCTCGATCTGAAAAAGCAGTCATCTTTGTCTGATTTTATAGCAAACTGCAACATGCAAGCAGCGCGTGGTTTGGGCACCACAGCAAAGTACTGATCTTGTTTGGTGTGACCTTGCCAAATGAACCAACCCAGAAATGTTACAACTGTATGTGCAAACTTAAGCAAGGCTTAAGGAAAAACTTGGCTGTGTCATCTTCAGAATCTCATGAGTGGTTTTAGTCGTTTCTAAAACATTATGTACCCACAGTGCAAAGCATCTGCTTTCAGATGATGAAGTAAATGTAGTGTGGTGCCAGGCTAAAACAACTGAATACATGGCTTTGGCACCTGCACTTCAGCTGCCAAAGCACTAGTTCTAATGTGCCTCTGATAAACTGTTTTCCATACACAATTATCTGGAATGGTCCAAGGGGGATACGGTCCAGCTGTTTTACCCTTAATGCCTGTAAATACTCCACAGCATTTGAAAGGGGCACACCAATCAGATTTCACTGATGCAGACTGAATCAGAGTATAAACTCTGTCTACACTTTACTGTCTGTAATGTGTTTCTGTGATACAAACCTGACAGAGCTTCCACTGACAGTATGTCCATCTGACAATTTTGATACACTGAATGGAGGAAGGACAGTGCTTCAAGACCACCAGCAGGCTGAGGCAGTTGTTAATTTTGAGTGTCCTGATGGCAGATCAAAATACTGCAAAACTAAACTTGATGGTCAGGAGACCAAAAAGAAATTCCAAACCCTGATGCTGTACTGATTAGCTACATGGCTTCCAAAGCATCAGCAATGATCTCTAAAAAGACAGCTAGCAAAACTCAACTGGCCTCCTCATGGTCCTTTGTCCTGGCTCGTTGGGTTTCTATGCTTAGGCAGAGTTCTTGTGGACAAAGTCATCTTCTTCCAGATGTGGGGATGAGGAGCAATGCGGTATAGGGACTGATAGGAGTCTTACATGGTGTTACATCAATTAAAAGCTGTATCACCAAGACCTCCACTTTTAAATCACTTTCCAACCTTTTGGCACTAAGTGCTGCTGGTTCTTGCTGACGCAATGCTGATTATAAACGTGCAT